ATTAAAAAAAAAAAAAAAAAAAAAAAGAGCATACCCCAGGTGATGCAGCCGGTACGTTGTGGAGCCAGGCCTAGGAGTCAGGGGTAGGAGGTGGGGAGCACCCTGCACGGATGGAGGGCAGTGAGGTCCCTGTGCAGGAGCCCCAGAAAGGGAGCCCCTGGCCAAGGAAGGTTTTCCAGAAAAGACCAAACACAAGTTGGATCTTGAAGATAAGGACGGTATTGCCCAGGCAGAGGACAGGGAAGCCAGCCGAACATGTGCGAAGGGAGGGGGTTGAAAAGGACCCGCGGAATGGGGGTAACTGCAAGTTAGTCCCAGCAGCTGGAGTGCGGTGTGTGAGAGAGAGGAGGCTGGAGAGGGGCAGGGCACAGGCCTCACGGGCTGAGGAGTGTGGGTGTTGTTCTTCCGAGGGCAATGAACCGGCTAGGGCTAAAAATCAATATTTTTAATCTTAAAGAAAATGAAGACAATAATGATGCTCATAATGACGCTAATAAGATTCACTGACAATGACTGAGCCCTATGTTCCGGGAGCCTCAGTTCCCTCATCTGTGAAATGGAGACACGTGTGTTTGTTCTCACAGACACATTTCTCCAACGCCCACAATGTGCCAGACACTGGTCTAGGAGCAGAAATAGATAGCCGTATCCAAGACAGGGTTCTGGATATCACCGCACCCACTTCCTGCGGTTGTCATGACAACGAAGTGCCGTTCATTCATGTAAACGGTTTCCCACACAGCAGCCAGCTGTAAGCGCAGCATACGTGTTGGCTGTTAGTGTTCTTTTTATCTACCCCCGTTTCACACGTGAACTTATTGAGGCACCAAAAGGTTAAAGAGCATACCAGATGCCCTAGCCGGTTTGGCTCAGTGGATAGAGCGTCGGCCTGCGGACTGAAGGGTCCGGGGTTCAATCCCGGCCAAGGGCACATGCCTGGTTGGCGGGCTCGATCCCCAGTGGGGGGCGTGCAGGAGGCAGCCAATCAATGATTCTCTCTCATCATTGATGTTTCTATCTCTCTCTCTCTCCCCCTTCCTCTCTAAAATCAATAAAATATATATAT